GTTCCCAGGTAATTATATCTTCTTACACGTTCGATTCTTTGATCATGCACGGTTATGTCAGGGAAGTTTTGTGGTGATTTAGATATTAGCATTATTTTTGTTTTGCTTATGTTAAGTGATAATCCGTGTTCTTCACTGCATTCTACTATTTTGTTAATTAGTATTTGAAGATCTTCCCAAGTTTCTGCGATTAGTACCGTGTCATCGGCATATTTCAAGTTGTTTATTCGGATGCCATTTATCTTAATACCTATATTTTGATCCGAAAGTGCTGTGTTTATAATGTCTTCGGAGTATAGATTGAATAAGGTCGGTGAGAGTATACAACCCTGTCTTACGCCTTTCTTGATCTCGATTTCCTCCGTTGTCTCTTGCTCTATTCGGATATTTGCTTTCTGGTTATAGTAAATCTTAGAGATAATTCTAATGTCCCTTTTATCCAAGTTTTTTTCTACTAGCAGTTTCATTAAGTGATCGTGACGAACTTTATCAAACGCTTTGTTGTAATCAATAAAGCACACACATATATATATATATATATATATATATATATATATATATATATATATATATGGTTTATATCTAGACATCTTTGGCATATGACGTTAAGTGCAAATAGTGCTTCTCTTGTTCCAAGCCCGTTCCGAAATCCGAATTGAGTATTACTAATATCTGCATCTAGTTTTCTGTTAATTCTTGAGTGGATTACTTTGATGAATACTTTTAATGTATGCCCCATTAAGCTTATAGTGCGGTAGTCAGTGCACTGTTTTGCATTTGCCTTTTTTGGTAAGGTTACAAAAGTTGAAAGTAGCCATTCCTTTGGTATTTCTCCTCTTTTGTAGATGCAGTTAAAAAGGTCGAGTAGAATATTCACTGATTCGCCTTCCACAAGCTTAAGAAGTTCTGATGTGAGCCCGTCTGGACCCGGTGATTTACCATTTTTCATTATTTTTATAGCGTATAATAGTTCTTCTTTAGTTATTTCTGGTCCTTCGTCGCCTTGCAAGTTATCTATATTAGGTTCTTGTCTTTCATCGTCGAACAATTCTTCTACATAGTTCTTCCAGGTCCTAAGCTTTTCTTGTAGATCGGCTATTATTTCACCATTTGCGTTGCATAGGAGATTGGGATGTTTTCGTTTTTGTGTACCTGTCAGTTCCTTTATCTTTTTATGTAAGTTAAAAGTGTCATGTTTGAGATGTAGTTCTTCGATTTCCTCGCATTTTCTTGCATAAAAATTTTCCTTTGCAGTTCTTATTTCTTTTCTGATTTGTTTGTTTACTTCATTATATTTTTGGCTGCATTTTCCCTTTAACTGTCTTCGCTCTTCCATGAGACCTAAAATTTTTTCTGTTATCCATTCTCGTCCTTTTTTCTGTTTCTCTTTGGTAAGCATTTTCTGGGCAGGTTTTATTATGGCGTCTTTTAAATCTTGCCACTTGTCTTCTACATGCGTGTTCTCTGTCTTTGTAGAAAGCATTCGTAAGTTATCATTGATATGTTGTTTTAAATCTTCTTTAATTGTTGGATCTTGTAAGCGGCTGGTATCTATGTGATCTATTTTTGTTTTATTTGAAGGTCTTTTGAGTCTAATGTGTACCCGCGCTATCAGGGGGTTATGATCTGAAGAAACATCTGCGCCTGGATAAGCCTTAACTGATCTTATACAGTTTCTGTATCGCTCATTTATTAAAATATAATCTGATTCCTAATTGTTTTTTCCCTAGTGTGTTGAGGGGACGTCCATGTGTACAGTCTTCGTTTGGGTAGCTTAAAGAATGTATTTGAAATTATCATATCATTCTCTTGACAGAACTCTAAAAGTTTGTCTCCTCTGTCGTTTCTTGCCCCTAAACCATATTCTCCCACATTTTTTCCGCTTTTTCCTTTGCCAATTTTGGAGTTGAAGTCTCCAAGGATAAGTGTAACATCTTTTGGCTTTGTAGACTTTAGAACTTGATTTATTTGTTCATAAAACTGCTCAATCTCTTCATCTGATTTATCTGCAGTAGGGGCATATACCTGTATAATATTAAGTTTTGCAGTTTTTGTATGCAGTTGTAGGAGCAGGATCCTGTCTGACACTGGTGAAACATTAGTGATAGACTGTGTCATTCTTCTTGAAACGACTATTGCTACACCATATCTGTGATGTGGGTATTCATTTCCTGAAAAATAGATCATACCGTTGCTTGTCGAGACGTTGCCTGCACCCGACCATCTTGTATCGCTGATGCCTAGGATATGTCTTCAACTAAAGAAACCTAAAATATATTGTTTACAAATTTCACTAAAAAAAATTATCAGTGAAAATTTCTGTATCAGCATCAATGCCATAATCGTCTTCCTGTAAACTGTAAATTTTTACATTCGTCGCCAGAAGAAGTTATCATAATTGATTAGTGCTACACTCTCCTCAGATGAAGTGCTATCACCTCGTTTATTTTTTTTTTGTTTTCGTGTTGAGCTGCTTGCTTTATTTAAATTTACTTTGATTAAATAAAAGGTAAATAACGAGCACAGTTTAATTAATTTAATCTTGCCCTAGTACTTTCGCTCCCTAGAGCATCTTCATGGATATTTCGTCAATTGTGGCCTATCCGACAAGAATAAAATGTTATAAACATAAAATGGTACATCACACTACACTACACAAGGACAAACACATTAAAATTATTAAAAATAGGCGAAGCTACATTGTGTACGGAAGCCGGAGACAGAATCACAATGGCTTCTCCGGCTTCCATACACAATGTAGCTTCGCCTATTTTTAATAATTTTAATGTTTGTCCTTGTGTAGTGTAGCGTGATGTACCATTTTATGTTTGTAACATTTTATTCTTGACGGATAGGCCACAATTGACGAAATACCCCTAAATATGCTCTAGAGAGCGAAGATACTTGGGCAAGATTAAATTAATTAAACTCTGCTCGATATTTGCCTTTTATTTGATCAAAGTTCATTTATTCGAGCATTCAACCTTATATCAATTTATTTAAATTTACCTTAATTCATTATTTATTTATCTGCACCGTATAATAAATAGTTAGGTTAAATTATAACAACTAAAATATATTTTTTAAATATATACTACCCAAAATTTGATTAATTTAGTATACACTTCCACTATTTGTAATAATTCTTCTTTTTTCAAAGAAAGAAGTATGTAATAGTAGTATACTTGAGCTATTAATACTGAGAAGTAGGAATTGTTGTGTTGTAGGTTTCCGACAATGAATCTGTTAAAATTTGCCCGAGCTAAACGAATGGAGTATACTTGACTTTCAGGTGTCTTCGACGAAGATGATATAATTTGATTGGAAATCTCAATAATAATTTCCGTCGATTCTGGTTGTGGATTTGACTTTTCAGTTTCATTTGGTCTATCAGTCACAGAACTTCCAATGAAGTCAGCTTTAGAAAATTCCCGATTAATTAAATTATGACAAAATATTAGTAGGTATTAATACTTTCATATTATGTGCCCCTACACATTGCGCTATCTTGGATATTGAAATAGGTTTACCAGGATGGCTCAGCAATCATGAGTAGTTGTTACTACAATGAGGAGGCAGAGTCAGTGTTATTGCATCATTACCCTTTACCAGTTGAACAACGTGATGTATTACGTGACTCTCCTAATAGACACAGATTGGTATGGAAGGGTTTTTAATTGAACTGTTTGCTAAACTTGATGAAGTGTTTCATAATGCCGACAAACAGCTCGCTATTCATTTATCCACTTGGATTTACCAAACCCAGTGCGCCAAATGGATCTTCTTGTGTCATATGCTCCTAGTAATACTTTCTTGGAAAAACCATAACGGGGAGCAGAAACGTACTATTCGCACATACATCGACCAATGTGTAAAACAACTTTTGAGCTGTTTTACACCTTTCTCGCATCGACTTTTTTAGGTTTCTGCACTGTTGCTGTACTACTTTCATCAAGGTTATATATCCTGATATTAGACACCGCTGAAGGATATCTAGAATAAACGGCATATATATATTGTCAAAGAATTAGTTGACATTGTGTGGATTAAGTAAGGATAATCTTAATAAACTCTAACCGTCTGGTTCACGAATACTGAGGTTTCTATTACTATTTAAAAATAAACGAAATCATTAGAGTCTAGCTATTTTATCCTTGATCGAATTCGCTGAAACTGGAATGTTGTTTTTAATCGCCATATCATATGCTTACTTTCGTGCTTAAATGGTTGTTAATTCGTAGCTCATTTTGTTTCAAGTTTTGATGTAATCACACAAAGAAATTTCCTGTTCCTCTGAAAACACACGTCATAAAGCATAATTGGGTTTCATTCGATTATTATCTAGATTAGTATGTTTTTGCCACATATCTTTATATTATCTGAAATTTTACTCTTTGTTCAACGGCAGCAATTCTCAATAATCTCAAAAACATGTTGTAGGACATTTGCCATATCATCCGCAGCTGAATGTCGCTCGACTTCTTGGGTTTTCTTTGCGGATCATGTCTGTAACAAACATAATAAATTTATATTTTACTTATACAACATATTACCCAGTGTCTCATTGTGTATCAAGTAGCATTGTTGTAAACAAATACAAATAATCATATTTAAGTTTTAGTTTTGAGACACGACTATTGGAGGTTAGAATATTAAAATTAATTATTATAGAAATTACTGTAATATGCATGTAGCACGCATGCTCTTTCAAAATGACACAAATCAACAATTAGTTTCGATAATAAGTAGTAAAACTATATAAAAACTAACTTCCTACCTTAATTAAACAGTTTATCACTATAAATTTCACGAGGTCATGAATATAATGATGGTATTTAACTGGCGCTGTAAAATGACATTTTTATGATAACTTTGGTTAAAGATTGGATTTTGGCGGTAAAATTAAAAAATTCTTAGATTGTCTTATTGTGTACCATGTCTCATTGTGTACTACTCTTATACTGTGTACTACTCAAAATATTTTATAAAAATGTACTTACAGATTTACTAATTGACTTTTAAGTTCCACATCATCTGGACTGATAAATTCTTCATTGTGATTTCGATAACCTCGACTTAATTGTTTTTCATGTTCTCTTAGTACCGGTGTACAAACTTTTATTAATATTGTACTCAATGAATTTAAAATGGCAATGGCATATAACATAATATAAATTTTGGGACCAGGCGTTAGTCTTTGAACGATTTCTACTAAAACCCATGCTGTAAAAGTTTGTATAAAAGTGGCCAAAATATTTCCAGCGTTATTAATTAAATATGGATAATAAGTATGTACAACTTCAAAAGGAAAATATCCTTTATCAAATCCTAGAGTAGTAGCGTACACTAGGATGGACAACGTTGGAATCCATGACATATTATTAAAGTTAATCTGAAAAGATTTTAAGGTTATATACAAAGCTAGAATCACTATGGAGAGACTGCACGCAATATGGCTAATCCAGTTATGTAAGAAAAAACTTCTAGCGGTATTTTTATTTAAAAAACGTATAATTATAATTATAATGATGAACATGGTGCAAATTACTGTATTGTGTAAATCTTTTATATCACAAATTTCAAGAATGTCTTCTAAAAACATTAAGAAAACTATAATTCCACTGAATTGTTGACCAACCATGGATAATGCAATGGACAGGCATGACCTTTTATTAAATGTAAGTGAAAAAATAGTTTGTCTTTTGTTATTAATCTTGGATTTTAATACAGCATTTATTATCATATCAAGTTCACTTTCAACAAACTTTGTATTTCGTAATTTTTCTAAAGCAATTTTGGCCTTAAAGTTTTTATTATTCCAAACAAGAAAATATGGCGATTCTATCGTAAATAGAGATGTAACCATTTGAATAAGCGCAAGAGCAGCCCCTAATATGGCAAATGCAGCTACTGATATGAATGAACTAAGCATATACGCCAATAAAACTCCAAATAATATTCCATAATATATAAATCTACCGCTGTTTCTTAAATTTTGTGGTCCAATGTCGTGAATATACTTAGGAATTGAAATTAATGTTATTGACATACAAGTCCCTGCTAGTATACGAGCAGCATGTGTTGTAATTATTGCACCTTGTACAGCTATGGGTATCCAAGAAATGACTAACAATATTCCAGATATAAACATTAGTTTTTTAGTGCTTAATTTGTAGCTAACAACACAAAGTAGTACACCGATGCAAGATCCTAACAAATAGAACGTCCTATATATATTTTGACTATCATTATTATCACAAAAGGTGTGCGTGTTCCTGCTTATATTATGTATTGATGTGTTGCAAAGTGGAATAACTGTAGCAGGTGAAAGTCCTAGATGTATACCATTGGAAACAGCGCCAACGATCCCTAAAAATTAATAGAGTTAATTATTTATCGGGAAATTTTAATAAAAAAATCTTATTGTGTAATAAAATAGTGTTTTGGTTTATACTAACCATTAGTATAAAATAAATCCTAAATTAATTACTTTATTAATTTTAAAAATAAATACATCAATGAAGATAAATAATGTTAATTCATAACTTATATTGTAAAAGAAAGTCGCTATTTTAACAGTCAACTTATTTTGGGTGATATTCAGCCCATTTTAAAAAATGAATAAGAAAAATAAAACAGTGCAAAACAAAGTCAACTCAGAGTTGACTGGTACAGATCTAGTCCTTGTTTCGAGTGGGATCCAGTATGTTCCCTTAAAGTTAAATCTTTTAACATCAATCTCATGTCGCTTGAATTTTAATTTTTAAGGCATTTAAATTTTAACTTAAGTGGCGTGTTTCAATTGCTAACTATGTGATCACTGATGACGGTATGATCATGATCAGACTCAAACCGTTTTGATGAAATTACAAAACAAATTTTTTTATAAAATATATTTTGTACTTACAGGGGTCGGCATAAGTCAGGCAAAAAATTTGCATTAAGAGAAAAAATGCAGCGTTCAAATGAATTTATTCAAAGCAATTGCAAAAGAGATTCGATAAAGGGTTAATGTAAGTGTTCAAATTAAGGCCCATTTTGATCAATGCATTTACTGCAATGTTTCACAACAGAGGGGCAGGTGCTAGTACTAGAGACCGTGCACAAAGAGCGAGCATTGATCAACATCATCAAAATAAGAAAGGTCCAATACTTCGGTCATGTAATAAGAGCACCTAAATATCGCTTACTCCGGTTAATCATTCAGGGCAAAATCGAAGGAAAAGGTTGGGTCGAAAGAAAACAACTGTTCTGGCTGCGCAACATTAGACAATGGACAGGTCGAACGGTCGAGGAACTGTTTCATCTAGCTGCCAACAGAGAGTCATTTCATCAGCTTGTCAATATGACGATAGCCAACGCTTGAATACAAGCACGGCACACAAAGAAGAAGGGGAAGGTCTGGCTAAGCATATCAAGCTGTCCGTGAAGATTTTCAAATTCTTCTTTAATAAATTGCAGTTCGGAGGTCAGGAACAAAGCGTGGTCCTCTTGCAAAAACACGGTCCTTGAAAAGGCCCTACAGCCATCGTCTGCCTATGCACTCTTTAAAATGAACAATAAGGTACTTCTGCACACAAACCGCGTAGTGCAGCGAAGCTACCTCCTGCAGGAAATGACAGATGTTTGCGAGTGTTGAATCGTTATCCATTTTCCCACTTTTATCTTTGAACATTTTCAAATAACTTTAGCTCATCACGTTACCCTAAAAAAGTGCGAACCAACAAGACCTCCCGCATTAATACCTACCCATGTACTAACCCCAGGTAGGTTTAAATCTTCTTCAATGAAGACGTAGGGATTCTGATCGTTTCAGTACACGCAGTTATGTCGACTAAACGTACCCTTCAGCTTGAAAGTTGCTTTATCCGACGACAAACTGGAATTCTGAAACTGCGGATCATCCTGATTGTATCCGAGGTACCACTCGCAAAATCTATCTACGATCTATCTACGCAATCTACGATCGAAATCATTTTTGTAAAGTGCGTGGAGAGGATTGTTTTTTAAGTTCCATCTTCTATCGAAGGTTAGAAATCATTATGGCTATGCGGACTCTGTTGACTGCCGCTCTAAAAAGTTCTGCACTACTGTGGAGAAGATGCAGACCATAAACTCAATAATGCATGCATTTCAGCATTCGTCATAAAGAACGATCGAATATTTGAAGTTCTCTCGATAGCCGCACTGTACATTGGTTTAGCTGCTCAACATACGCCAGTGTTTTTCCATATTTTCGTACAGATACCGGTCGTCCAGAACGTGGCACATCGGCAACACAGCCTGTTTTTAAGAATTTCTGGTACATCTTCCACACTGTTGAAAGATTTGGTAGCGGCGAGTTCTTAAATTGTTATTGAAATTTGGTAAACATAGTTTCGTAATCCGCGTTTTATTCGACGACCACTTGCTATTATGACACCGACACAACTATTTGAAGCAAAAACATGCTTTGTTTTAATATTTCTCAACAGCGTTGCCAGACTTATGAGCGTTGCCGGACTTATACCGATTTTTCGAGAGCGTTGACTGACTTATGCCGACCCCCATATATACCATTATACACTAGAAGTTTTTCACTCTACAGTAGGTTCTGAAACCTAAAAGTAAATTAACAAACCATATACAACATCATATTTAAATCGAATGACCTAAGGCTAAAGGAGATTGATATGCAAAGAAACATCTGGCTGTAAACTAAAAGGAAATCGGAAGGGGGCATAAATAGAATATGGCTTCATAATTATTGATGACACGAAATAGAAATAAAACCAAAACAAGAACAAGTTCCAAAAAGTTACAAATCATTACAGCACCCACCTATTTAAACAACCTACTAAACAATTAACCATAATAGAGAGCAAAGAGTGATGATAATAGAGAACGGAATATACAGCGGAGAAAAAATAGGAAGTTTAGACAGGGGCAGCAGGCATGATAGAAAGAAAGAAAGTATCCACAATGTCATTAAATACTAAATATACTTCAATATACGCATAGTAAACGTAATCGTCAGTAAAGAGAAAGCACCTACGCAACTAATAGTATTCTATACATATGAAGAAGATACACGAACAAAAATAATGAATTCTGGGATAATGGATGATAATTGAACACTTCTTAAATTATACCTAGGTAAATTTTTCAGAAAATTCTCATAAAAGCAGAAAATATATTAAAAAGATGTTTTTACCCACATATTAACTTTCTCCGACCAATTCCAAAAATTTCCCTGTTAGACAAGAATTCAAAAGGTCGGTTTTATCTACCTCTGTATATAAATATCGAAGTTGTCTCCCGTCCCCTGTGAATCCCTTGCAATAGTCAGGTATTGCATTTGCATTCAGAATTTTAAGTAGTTTCATTATAACTCTGTATCTCAGCTGAGCTGGTCACTTCTTGTTTCGAGTTTTTTAACTCTCGTATATTAAGTAGTCATATTGCATAAAAGCATATTAGTATTAGCGTATTACTATTCGATTAAATTCGAGGCATTTCTGGTTTAAGAGTCTCGCATATTGAGTATAAAATTGTATCCCAGCTTAGCTGGTCGCTTCTTGTTAGAGGTTTATCTCTCGCATATTAGTTATTGTTTCACAGCTTATAGGAAAAAGCTGAACGCTCATTAATAATCAAGTATATTTATATAGAAGAAAACGTCCTTAGTTGAAGTGATAAATTAGTAGTAACATTTTAATTTGTATCAGTGCTAGTGTAGTGTGTCGCGATGTATATGGACAGTGATCGGCTATTTTAATAAAAGAACCTGCTCTAAAACTTTGGTTAAATGTTAAGTTAGTTGTAGTAACATTACCATATATTGGTAAACATAGCCTTCACGACGTTACTAATGACAATGGTTTAAGGCTTATTAGTCTGGCAGCTTCCAAAGATTTAATTGTGGGAAGTACATGTTTTAATCACAAGAATATCCATAAAGCCACTTGGATATCACCAAATGGACACACCACAAATCAAATCGACCATGTTATAATTGACAGAAGGCATTTTACAAACCTAATGGACGTAAGAAGTTACAGAGGAGCAAATATTGACTCAGATCATTTTATGGTAGGGGCCAAGTTACGACAAAGAATTTCCAATGCCAAGAAAGAAAGGGGCACTAGACAAGTAAAATATAATTTACATATGCTAAAAAATAAAAACAATGAGAAACAGTTCCAGTCACATATAAAAGAAACCCTAGAACACACCTGGGCAGTCGGCCAGTCAAGCACGGAAATGTGGAACAACTGCAAGGAGGCTCTGAAATTAGCAGCTGAAAGCACATTGGGAATATCCCGAACCCAAAAAAGAAACGACTGGTTCGACCAAGACTGCAAAAAAATAACAGATGAGAAGAACGAGGCATTTAGAACCATGCAACAACGAAAAACTAGAACAACAATAGATAGATACAAAAACTTAAGGAGAGAGGAAAAACGCATACACCGAAAAAAGAAACGAGACTCGGAAAATGACATGTTAGAACGGCTCGAAAGCCATATGAGTCACGGAGAAACAAGAAAGTTCTACCATCAAATAAATAGTATTAGAAAAGAATTCAAACCAAGAATCAACTATTGTAATGATAAGGAAGGCAACTTACTTACCAACAAAGAGGACATCCTTTTACGATAGGTAGAGTACTTTCGAGATTTGCTGGAAAATGAACCTACTAACAATATAGAGCTGGAATACCGAAATGAGGAACTCGTGGAACCCCCCTCGGTAGATGAAGTAAAAACATCTATAGAAAAACTAAGGAACCATAGGTCCCCAGGTAGCGATGGCATCCCAGCAGAGTTATTTAAGCACGGTGGAGAGCAGCTCACCAAGGTGATGCGAGAAACTGTTTGTAGAATTTGGTCTGAGGAGCAAATGCCAGAAGAATGGAGCTTAGGCTTAATTTGCCCGTTACACAAAAAGGGAAACCAACTGGAATGCAATAATTACCGCGGAATAACTCTCCTAAATACAGCATACAAGATATTATCAAATATTTTACACGAGAGATTAAAGCCTTATACTGAAATGTTTCTAGGGGAATATCAGGCAGGATTCAGGCCAGGACGTTTAACCATTAACCAGATCTTTACACTACGACAGATCCTCGAAAAAGCGCAAGAGTTTAACATATATATGTATCATATTTTTGTCGATTTTAAAGCGGCATATGACAGTGTCTTAAGACCAAGTCTTTACAACGCTATGAATGAGTTAAGAATTCCAAAAAAACTCATACGTTTGATAAAAGTGACAATGGCGAAGATGCTATCAGCAGTAAAAATTCAAAACGACTCGTCAACCCCATTTCAAATACATAGGGGGTTAAGGCAGGGAGATGCGCTGGCGTGTCAGCTTTTTAA